AATCTACAGTAAATGATCTATATTACAACAGTACTTATAGTTCAATAAGTGCTAGTGCAACACGTTTTACTGTTGATCTAGTCATCTATGAAAGTTCTCCAATAGGAGCATTCTCTAGCCATAAATTGTGCATGAAGTGGTAGGGGTCATCAGGAATGGAGACCTTGTAAGGTGTAAGATTCAGGCTGCGCTTAATGTCCTGGCGAAGAGGGAAGAGTGACTGGCGTACTTCTTTAAGTGTTGCTAAAGGTTCACAAATCTTTCTTTTACCCCAGTAAATTGTGTACAAAGGTTCTACCTTACTAGGAAGAACATAAGCTCGTTTTGATTCCTGGAGCGGATGGTAACAAAAAACTCGTTTCCCTGAATCTGCTGCTTTTCCAGACAGTTTTATAGCACTTATCGACACTTCTGACTTGGCTTGCTAAATGTTTGTGGTGTTGCCCTTGCCTTGGATGAACTAGCGTTCAAAAATAAAAATAATAATATTAATAATTTGTTAGGTAAATTGAGAGAAAAATTATAAAAAAGACAATAAATTAAAGAAAATAAACTAAATGAAAAAGTAAATAGAACATGAATAAAGTCAACAATGTACGAAAATTAAAACACTGAGAGAATAAATATGTGCATCGAATAATATTGTCCAGCGTGATAGAAGAATAAAAGGCACGAGAATTTAATATAAAAAAATTGTGGAAAGAAGCGAAAACAAACAAATATATGGTTATGGGAACTTAACCTACAAAAAATGCGAAGAAAGAACATAAAATGAAAACAAACATACGATTAGAATGGCAACAATTATGGTTAAGGAAAAGAGATCGTGCTGGTGAAGAAGAAAAAAAATGCGTTCAATGAACAAAACTGTTATGTAAACAAAAGTCCAATGTAAGAAAGTGTAGATCAGGTATCAAATTTTTGTTTTATTGAATTTCGCGTACTGCTACTTGAGGGATATCTGCGTAAGTCGTTTCAACTTTTAATTAAATAGTTTGTTTGTATGTAATTAAGCACAAAGCTACACAATGGGCTATCTGTGCTCTGTCCACCACGGGTGTCGAAACCCGGATTCTAGCGTTGTAAGTCCGCAGACATGCCGCTGTGCCACTGGGGGCCAATTAAAGAGATAGATTAAAGAGAACGCAGCTAATCAACACTACCTAACTCTTTACCGACGAATAGTAGGATCGCCCACGACATTATAACGTTCCCTCGGTTGAATGTGCAAATATGTTCAGTGATTGGATTCGAGCTCCCGACTTGCAGGTTACGAGTCGAGTGCCCTTACAACCAGGCTATGCCAGGCCCGGACATTAAAGATAAAGAATAAAGTAAAGGAAAAAATGATTCACCATTCTTTCCAATGGGATAAATAGTGGCTAATACTAAAATCAATAAAGATAAAGAATAAAGTAAAGGGAAAAATGATTCACCATTCTTTCCAATGGCATAAATAGTGGCTAATACTAAAATCAATAAAGATAAAGAATAAAGTAAAGGAAAAAAATGATTCACCATTCTTTCCAATGGGATAAATAGTGGCTAATACTAAAATCAAATGCTTTCCAGATGTTCTCTTTGCGTTGAACCCCAGTGCCATAGCGGAAAGCTTGCTGCGTTATAACGCTAGAAACCAGATTTCGATACCCGTGGTGAGCGCAGCACAGATAGTCCGTTATGTAGCTTTGTGCTTAACTAAAACAAAACAAAACTCTTTGCATTACAGAGGAGGGAGCAAATATGAGTAAAAATATAAAGTCGGAGTTGCAGTATGAAAAGTTATTGAAGTGTCTACCTACAGATTTCATGGTGCCATTATTTCTTATATAGAAAAAATGTTCAAGTGAACGATCTCCTAAGCGGCGACCGGTTTGGCCAATATACAGCATGCCACATTTTTTTACAGACCACACATTATATCAGGCTTATTGAAATGCATGTGTTATATTTGGAACTTTCCACTGGGGCTATATATGGATTTTGTGGTGTTAACATATTGACAGGTGAAACATTTCTTTCTGTGATAACAAAATGTATCTGAGCACCCAGTTGGGGCTGATTTTTAGCAGATACTGTGGATCAAAGTTTTTTTTAATATTTTTATCATGCCCGTGACTGACGAGTAGACGTTCTTTAAAAATTTTGGAAGTTATGTGGTTATCATTTAGGATATTGTAGTTTAGAAGCATTGTACATTGATCAAAAGCTGTTATTTGACAGCATTCAGAGTTAAGTGTTGTAACATTCATTAAAAGCTGTGATCTGACAGAACTAGCGTTAGCTGTAGTTTAGAAATATCACACACTGAGATTTGACTACGGTCAGGCGGTACTAATTGTTGTTTAGAAACATTTATTAAAAGGTATGAACTGACAGTAGTGTGCGTTATATGCAGTTTATAAATATTATATATTGATTAAAAGCTGTAATCCGACAGAAGACTGCGTTAGTTACAATTTAGAAATATTGTAAATTACTTAAGACTATGATCTGACAAGTCGTCGTCATTTATTGTTTAGAAACATTGTACGTTGAGTTAATGCTGTTGATATATAACAATATTGCGTTAATTACAATTTAAAAACATCGCCATTGAATAGCAACTGTGATCTAAAAGCAGTCAGCGTCAGTTATAAATATTGTATAGTTAGTTGAAGATGCGGTGTGAAAGTAGTCAGCGTGGGTTGTGGTTTTGAAATATTACACATTGAAGTTGTGGTCTTACATACGTCAGCGTTAGTTGCAGTTCCGAAATACTGTACATTAATTACGACCTGTGATTCGACAGTAATTAAGTCTCGTCAGAGAAACACGCTGTTTTCCTATTGTATATTTTTCTTTTTCTTTCTTTCTTCTTCTTCCAAACACTTTTCAATCGACCGCCATTCTTTCATTTCTCGGCGGGTTGACTTGAAACTTGGTAAGATCATTTTTTCTATTTAGCCCTTTTTAAAGATTGTATGGGGTCAAGGTGAAACAATCCCAAAATATATATTTTGGGTTCCCGTGCGGTCATATTTACACCACAAATTGGCACAAATAAAAATAAAGTTGGATTTGCCCATTTTAAGTCTTTTTTTTTAGGGGGTCAGAGCTCACAATTCTAAGGTTTGATCAATATCTCGGCCTTATTTCGATCAATTCCCGTGAAATTTGGTACAAAGATACTTTTCTACCAAATGTTGGACTTGCTCATTTTTTAGTAAATATAGGGAGGTCAAGATATCACAAAAAACATAATTTGAGGATTTTTTGACAATTGCTCCGCCGTATTACGACTAATTTACATGGAATTTGGTACAAAGATACATGTCCCAAACCGAGATATAGACAATTTTGGAATTGTTATTTTTTTGCTCAATTTGTCAGCCAGAAAAGCACAATTCAATGTATTTCCTAAGGTAAAGAGCCCAAGACTGAACACAGTACTCCAACTGTGGCCTAACCAGTGACCTATATAACGACATGATAACATCTTTAGACTTGTATTCAATATTTCTTTAGATATAACCTAAAATCCTATTTGCCTTACCAACAGCACTTTGTTTGGAGAGACTGATCAGCCAGTAAATAAGATATTCCTTAAATCACGAAGAGATAATTAATTAGTCGTTCAATTGTTTTTGTTTAATAAAACAATGTATTTAACTTGTTTTACGATTACGATTACGAGTAAGATGGATTACAGCTAAGCCTAAAAGTTCCGTTACACTTCCTAAGCCTAATCTATCGTTGTAGTACAAATTACACAACTAAGCTCTAATTTAAAACTTTAACCCTACTATTTTATTTACCAATATTTGTTGTATAACCGAAACCACTACAAATGATAATATCAATATCAAATAATATTCAAAAATTTTTAACAGTATAACAGCTTATCTTTCCAACGTAAAATGATATAACTAAACCTAGTGACGTGTGTCGATACAGTAACTAGAGTAAAAGTTGACTTGGTGATTTTTCCCATTATTAATATAACTAGAGTAAAGTAGATATATTGATCAGCGTAAATATCAAAGTAACTACAGATAATACAGCTAGATCTACTGACGTGTGTCAGTAAAGTAACTAAAGTAAAAGTTGACCTACTGGTTGTTGCCATTATTGAAATAACCAGAGTAAAGTAGACATGCTGATCAGCTAAATATCAAAGTAACTACAGATAATACAGCTAGATCTACTGACGTGTGTCAGTAAAGTAACTAAAGTAAAAGTTGACCTACTGGTTGTTGCCATTATTGAAATAACCAGAGTAAAGTAGACATGCTGATCAGCTAAATATCAAAGTAACTACAGATAATACAGTTAAACCTACTGACGTGTGTCAGTAAAGTAACTAAAGTAAAAGTTGACCTACTGGTTGTTGCCATTATTGAAATAACCAGAGTAAAGTAGACATGCTGATCAGCTAAATATCAAAGTAACCACAGATAATACAGTTAAACCTACTGACTGTATTTTATAAACTTTTGTTTCGCTTCTTATAGGTGTTCGAAAATGTTTGTAATATAAACCGTTTCTTGCAGAGAATTTAGGTTACAATTATTAATAATGTCGAGCGCTAAATCTAGCAAGAAAATCGGATTGGGAAATGTAAATGGTTATGAAGGTATGGTGTAAGGTGAATTAGTGAAGACCGAACTGTCGAAATGTTGAATAACGAGGAGGTAACAAAAATTATTAGTTTCTTATGTCGTCAGACGGTATCATTCTACCTTGTTGACGCTAACGTACGCAAGTTGGCTTGAAACCGATGTTAGCAACGCTAGTCTTCTAGTGTCTCACTCTTTCTGTGGAAACATAACCAATCGATACCTTCAAACTCCGGACAGTGGACCAAAAGATGTGGAAACACGCCCTCAAGTTCTTCCGAATCACTTATGTGTTTGCTCGCGGCTGTGGAATGACGTCACATCGCAGAGGGGTCACTTGGTTAATCCCAGCAGGATCGTTTCTTAGAGACGCTACTGACGTCATCTTGTTCTCGTGCTTCTTGCTAGCACGCGCTTCGTGTGTTTCAATTCCATCCTTTCTTTGTTCTACTAGAAAGCGATGTATGATGTAATCTAATGGGTAGAATTGTGGAGAACATGAAGAGAAAGAGGAACTAATGAGTAAGTAAAGATTCTTACTTTTATCTACCAACCTATATGTCAAGACACTTTATACAAGAAATGAAAAAAAAAAGTTTTGTTAGTAAGCTTATTATTACTACTGTTTTTTCTCTATGAAATGTGTAAAATATAAAAAGCTATCTGTGTGTTAATGTTTTACTCTCAGATAACGTCGCCTTGTTATTGGAAAATTCTAGTTTTACTTTATTTACCAATTGTTTATTATAATTTGTATATTTTATATACCTTCACAAAACACTGCTGTGACATGTTATTTATAAACACAAATAAACATATGTATTTATATAACACTGTTAGTTGTAAAAGATAGCTAAGCATTACCAAAAAAAGCACTTAAGTATGATCACTTTAACTGAAGTATCATATTATTAAGATATGCATTATGTGAAGAAAGTCTGTTTAGTTGAATTTCAGCATTATGTGGATTAACAATAACTAAAAGAAGGCCCGGCATGGCCAGGTGGATAAGGCGCTCGACTCACAATCTGAGGGTCGCGGGCTCGAATCCGCATCCCACCAAACATGCTCGCCCTTTCAGCCGTGGGGGCGTTATAATGTGACGGTCAATCCCACTATTCGTTGGTAAAAGAGTAGCCCAAGAGTTGGCGGTGGGTGGTGATGACTAGCTGCCTTCCCTCTAGTCTTACACTGCTAACTTAGGGACGGCTACCGCAGATAGCCCTCGTAGAGCTTTGCGCGAAATTCAAAAACAAAACAAACTAAAAGAAGATTATGCAATATGACTGCAAAACTGTGTATATGTGAACAATTAATACAAGAGGCTAGTGCAATTGAACTACAACACTCTATAGATGAGTAACAGATACAAGAATCTATCGAAGTGGGCTGTAATATTATATAGACGAATAATGACGAGAAAAAGTCAACGTTAACGTAACAAGAATGAATGTATGTGGAAAAAGCATGTAGAAGTGGCCAGTTTGAATGAACTATCTCTGTAAAGAACGATAGCTACAATGACTATGAAACTAATCCGCTACATACACCTAAATATATATACATATAATTTAAGGACAGCATAGGACCCGCTTGTTCATCTAGGCCGTCTCATCCATTAAATTTTTAAATAAAACGAAACACTTTAAACCAGCTCTTATCATTCAAGTATTTATTAAGCCTTCCCTTAAACTCCCTCAAGTTAACTGAATCCACCAAATCCGAAGGAAACCCCCTTTCAGAGGACCAACCACCTGGTTAGACATATCAAGTTGTTTTACATGAAGATGGCTTCTTTCCTGCCAAAATGTATATTTGTGTCCCCTAGTTTTACAATTTTCATTTTTAAGTATGAAAAAGATGATGCATCAACATTATCAATTCCCTTAACAATCTTAAACATCTTAATCCAATCCAATCTAACTCTTCCTTATTCAAGATAAAACAAGTTGAGAGATCTTAAGCCAATCCTTGTACGATAACATTTCCATCCAAGGTATCGTCCTACTAGCCCTTATCTGTACCCTTTTCAACAATTCAATGTCCTTTCTGATGTAAGGAACCCAATACTGAACACAATACTCTAGATGTGGTCTCACCAATGATCTTAAAATGAAATAATAACCTCTTTAGACTTGCATTCAGTATTTCTGTAGATACAACCTAAAATCCTATTTGCCCTACCACTAGCAACAGCACAAAGCTTGGATGGATTAAGACACTCATCAACCACTACACCAAGATCCCTTTCTTCCATAACACTGTTAACGTTATTTCCATCCAAATTATACTTATCATTCGTCTATCATAGAGAGAGATAACTTGTACTGCCGCCTTTGAAAAATGAATTATAGGTAAAAAAAATACATACGTGGCTTTGTAGAAAATAGTTTATAAATGAAAAAACAAAACAAAAAACATTTCATTGTGCAAAACTGTTCTGTAGGAAAAGAACGATTTAGATAGAGATGAATTGTGGGTAATGTTTAAAAAGGTTGTTTCATTGAATAGTAAATGGAAAACTGTTCATCACATCTCCTGATGTTGTTTAATGTTGATAAAGGCAATTCTAGTAATAATAGGTTTTCGTTATTGAATAGTAATTTTCATGATTACATACTAACAACTCCTATTTAGTCTTTTCTTAGTACTTATTCTATTTTACTGCCCCCCCCCCCCAGTGGCACAGCGGTATGTCTGCGGACTTACAACAATAGAATTTGGGTTTCGATATCCGTGGTGGGCAGAGCACAGATAGGCCAGTGTGTAGCTTTGGGCTTAATTACAAACAAGCAAACCATTTTACTGGAATAAATCGAAAATAAGTATTTAAATGCATATATTTATGTACATGTATATTTTAAAAATATTTTCCTTACTTTCCACTATTAGCTCAATGAAACCATAATGCATAAGAAAACAAACAAAAAAATTACAAAAAATAACTTTTTGTCTCTAGTAAAAGTGTGATGGCTGTCATGAGAAACAGTATTCTAGTAAACTCTAAAGGACGATATGTCGAAAACAACAACAACAAAACCATCAAACTTTAACCTTTTGTCTCTGGTAAGTCTGCGACGACAGTCCTAAAAACCACATTCTATCTCGTAAACCCTAAAAAATGACAAGACAAAAAAAACACAAATAACTTTAACCTTTTTGTCTCTGGTAAGTCTGCGACGACAGTCCTGAAAAACCACATTCTATCTCGTAAACCCTAAAGAACGACAAGACAAAAAACACAACAGATTTTAATCTCTCATCTCTGGCAAGAGTGTGGCGGTTTTCCTGAAAAACTGTATTCTATCTTATAAATCACAAAATACAACAAGATAAAAAACACAACAAATTTTAATATCTCATCCACATGTCTCCGCTCTCCTGAAATATTGTATTCTATCTAGTATACCCTAAAGTACGACAAGACTAAAAACACAAACAACTTGAACCTTTTGTCTCTGGTAAGAGTATGACGGTTGTCCTGAAAAATCTTATTATAGTAAATTCTAAAGGACGACAAGATAAAAGATACACAAATTTTAACCTTTTGTCACTGGTAAGAGTATGGCGACTCTCATGAAAAACTATGTTCCATTAAATAAGACGAAAAGGCTAAAACACAACAAATTTTAATCTCTAGTCTCTGGAAAGAGTGTCTCGACTGTCTGAAATACTGTATTCTATCTAGTATACCCTAAAGTACGACAAGACAAAAAAAACAACCAAAAACTTTAACCTTTTAGTCTCTGATAAGAGTGTGACAGCTGTCCTGTAATTCCCTATTCTACCTAGTAAACCCTAAAAGACGACAAGAGAAATGAAACAAAAACGTTAACCTTTTGTCTTTGGCAAGAGTATGACGGCTGTCTTGATAAACCTTATTCTACTAAACCCTAAAGGACTAAAGGAAAAAATATACAATCTTTAACCTTTTGTTTCTGGTAAGAGTATGGCAGCTCTCCTGAAAAACTATATTTTATTAAATAAATCCCAAAAGACGACAAGGCTAAAATACAACAAATTTTAGTCTCTCGTCTCTGGTAAGAGTGTCTTGACTCTCCTGAAATACTGTATTATATCTACTGTACCCTAAAGTACGACAAGACAAAAAACACTAAACTTAACCTTTTGTCTCTAGTAAGAGTGTGACGACTGTCCTGAAAACCACTATTCTAGTAAACTCTAAAATACGACAAGACAAAAAACACAGAAAACATTAACCTTTTGTCTCTGGTAAGAGTGTGATGGCTGTCCTGAAAAACCTTATTCTAGCAAACCCTAAAAGATGACAAGACAAAAAAACACTAAACTTAATCGTTTGTCTCTAGTAAGAGTATCGCGGCTGTCCTGATAAACCTTATTCTAGTAAACTCTAAAGAATGGCAAGAGAAATAACACAAAAATTTTAAACTTTTGTCTCTGGTAAGAGT